TGCTGTCTGCATACTAGAATGAGGTATGTTGTTGAATTCTATACCCTATGTTTCAAGTTCATCCTTTAGTCAAGTTTATAACACAGTCAACAAGCACACATCAACCTAGTTTTACATTGTGAAATAAAAATAACCATGCCATCAACCTTGTCTGTGAACAATATCTCAACAGTCTGAAAAAGCAGGTCTTCCTGTAATAGGCATATTAAGCCATTATTCTATGACATGAGGATGTTGCTTCTGTAGGATACTATCTAGCTATGTAAAAGCAAAGTGTGTTATTTGTTATTAGAGTTAAAATAGTCTCTCATTATGCACAGTTTGATATCAATGACATAAACGCAATTATGTTGCAATCAAGTAAAATGGCATTGTTGGCAGGTTCCACTTATCATTCCTAAATTACCACACTGGCAAAAGTCAAGCATTTATTAGTGCTACCGCAAAGCCAATCAAACAGTCTATTCACACGGTCCCCTTTGGTGTTTCTCAAAAGTTGTGCTCACACCTGGGGAGCATAATTAATTCATGGTGTTATTTTTCAGTTTGCCCTCCTCAAGAACTGCTCCCCCGCCCCCACCAAGACTGGGGTTTATCTTTCTAGAGTTTAATAAGAACCAAATTCACTTTTGTTGAACCCCAGTCTCTATTAACTTCTTTATTAATCAGAATTTTCAATTTCTTGCATATTCTTCATTTATCAGGCTGACAAGGAAATGATACCATTGTGAAAATGCCACTGGGTATAATGTTCAGACAATGGTCTGTTCCAGTTCATTCTATTCCCCAGTTAACAGGGTAAGCCAACAAGAGACCTAAAAGAATTCATTTTCTTGAAAGTCTTTCTATAATATATTACTTACTTTCAAGGTTTAATAAGTATATTAATACAAATTACAGCTAACACATGTCGTACTTACCATGGGCCAGTCACTGTGCTTTATGTATATTAACTCATTTAATCTTCATTGCAAACAAGGAAAAAGCTACTATTTTTCTCTTCACTTTACTGAGAAAAGAATTAACTTATAACTGATTATTGAATAATAATTATAAATGACTCACCCAAGGGAAATAAATGCTAAGTTCAAGTGGAGATCTGAACCCAGCACTCTGGCCCCACTCATTTAACCCCTATACTGTATGTATGGCCAGGGTAGAGTTTATGTTTATGTGCAATAGCTTCTTAAGGATCTGACAGATTCTGTCAAGACTATCATAAGGGACATGAATTGTCATTGAAGAATATATAAATAAAGTAAATGTAAGAAATTGGGTCAAGGGTGGGTCCTGGGAAAGGGGAGGAGGTGGTTTAGGGCCTGAGCTCAGTTAATATGGGGGATTTAAAACTGTTGCAGTTCTCCCTCTGATATTAATACCAATACACACTAATTGGGAGAAATATTAAAGTATATAAAAGAAGGAATTAAAAATTATCAATTATTCCATTAGTAACACTGTAAAGAATGTTTTGCCAGTCTTTTTCTATATCATATTGATGCATTAAAAAAATTAAAGGCAGTTTATAATATAGTAGTTACATGGATTCTCAAACAGAAGGCTCTAAACCTCACATCTCTAGGCTGCAGCTTCCTCATCTGCAAAATGGGTATCAGATTAGAATTTACACCCACTGAAGCACAAGGAGATGTTTCATGTAAAATGCTAAGTATTATGCTTGGCATATAGCAAACACACCACTAGTTAGGTACTATTACCTTATCAGTTATTCGTGGCATTTTAACTTGCCTTCCTACTCAAGTTTAGACTGTTTCCTCACTTTCATTGTTCTTGAAAAACAGTTTGTAATAGTGTGTTACAGACTTAGTTTCATTTTGTAGTCTTCTAATTTTTTTCCTCAGGATAAAATTCCACAAGTGAAATGGCTGTTTCCAACGATACAAATAAAGTATGTTGAAACTTTTATTGCATATTTCCAGATTATGTAAGATTATGCAAATAATATTTCCATCTTTGCAAATTGATATCCAGAAAGAGCATGCCATGTACATTGTTATCCGGGGTATGAGAATGTGTGAATCTGTGGGATTAAAATATTATGATTATTTCTATTATTTGCCAATTGAATTAGTTTTAAAATGGTGACATTTTAATTAGACTGATTTTATACTAATGAATCTGAAATTTTTATATGTTTGTTAAGCATTTGTATTTCTTTTGTGAATTCCCTATTCATGTCCTTTGTGTTTCCACCAGGGCATTCGGGTCTTACTGTTTAAAAAGAGTGCTTTCTGGTTTCCCCTCATAATTCTTGTGTTCAACAAATATTTATTATTGGCACCTCCTCTAGGCCAGTTTTATAACTTTTGTTACAAAGACTATGACATATTTTGTTTTCATTTGCTTTCACATTTTGTACATAATAATTTTGATATACAGATTTTTTAATTCTTTGGTAATTAAATCTATCAGTGCTCTCCTCTAGTTTCTGACTTTGGTGCTGGGCTTTAAAAGACCTTACTTAGGGGCACCTGGGTGGCTCAGTTGGTTAAGCGACTGCTTTCGGCTCAGGTCATGATCCTGGAGTCCCTGGATCGAGTCCCGCATCGGGCTCCCTGCTCGGCAGGGAGCCTGCTTCTCCCTCTGACCCTCCCCCCTTCATGTGCTCTCTCTCTCTCATTCTCTCTGTCTCAAATAAATAAATAAAATCTTTAAAAAATAAATAAATAAAATAAAATAAAATAAAAAAATAAAAGACCTTACTTAGAGCTGTATAATATATTCATTTATGTCATCCTAATTTTTTAATGACTTTATTTTCATATTTAAATATTTATCTAGAATTTATGAAGTAGAAATCTAATGTAATCACATTTTTCTTTCTAAGTAGCCAGTTGTTGATTTTCTCTATAAGAAAATTTCCTGACCTCTTTATTTCCTGATAATTTCTTTTCCTACATCCACTCTGTTCTCTTTTCTTAGCATTTTGTTGTTGTTGTTAAAGGGGGAGGGGGATAAGGGTAGAGAGAGAAGGAGAGAGAGAATCTTAAGCAGGCTCCTTGCCCAGGGTGGAGCCTGACACGGAGCTCACTCTCACAACCCTGAAACCATGATCTGAGCCAAAATCAAGAGTTGGATGCTTAACCAACTGAGCTTCCCAGGCACTCCTAAAATTTCCGTTATAGGTATATTAGACCTCCTTACTCAGTCCTTCATTACTTATCTTTTGAAATTTTTTCACATTGTTCTCATCTCTTTATTCTTTGCCTCTGAAACTTGGATTAATTCCAAGAGTTATCATTTACTTCATTGACTGAATGTCCTGCAACAGCAAATCTGATCTTCATTTAGGTTTTAAAAAGGGGCAATCAATTCTTCTTCTATGCTCCGTTTTCTGAATTCAGATTGTTGTTCTTCACAACCACCTTGCTTATTTCTTTTTTAAAAGTTTATTTATTATTATTAATTTTTTAGTAATCTATGAACCCAACATGGGTCTCAAACTTATGACCCCAAGATCAAGAGTTGTATACTCTTCCAACTGAGCCAGCCAGGTGCCCCCCACCTTGATTATTTATAGACTTGACAACCTCTTCTCTATCACGTTAAGATCACAGATTAAAAACTTGAAAGTTTTTAATATAGTCCAGTAACTATAGCTCGTAAGAAGACATCAGCTCTGATTCTTCAGCATAGGCCCCTTGTTTCAAACAGAAATACCTTTTCATATATCTGATGGATTCTGCCTGTTTCCTTATCCTTAATGAGGCACTTGTGCTTGTTCAATCCTGGGAAGTGAGATGGTTTCTGTCAAAGATTATTTGGATGTTAGTCTGAATCTTTCAGATCCAGGTAATAAGTGAAATGAAAGTTTGGGCACTAATGCAATTTTCTTTTATTCGGAGTATAAATACTGAATGGCCTGGGTCACTAAAGCCAGAGGTGGACACAGCAGGAAGAGCAGTCTCCAGGCTGGAGCGGAGGTTCTTTGTTTGTTGGGCAGCCCAGAATTAGCTGCATCAATGCCTCGATTTTTTGTTTGTCATGCTCATCTTCTTGAGGAGCCAGATGAGACTGTCTGTGTTTAGCATAAGCCTGGCCCACTGAGTGTGACATGCCCTGACCTCACTAGCCTGTGCCAGACCATCACAGCAGCAATCCCCCTAGACGAGGGCTGGAGAGGGAGATCTACCAAGAACCATGCCCCCCGACTTCCGAGTCTCAAGTGGAAAGCCTTGATTCCTATTAGTCCATCCTTCACCTGAGTCCACCTGCACTATCACTGACAAACTGGCAAGGTGCAGCCACTCCTTCATACTCTCCACTCCCAGTTTCTAATGCTTTTTTGTGACTATTTTATACTCAATCAAGTGGAAATCTAGGGAAGTGGCAGACTTCTTGTCTGGGCTCCATTAGCTTCTTATCCAGGAATTCCTCAATTCCCTTCCAGCCTGCACTTAGGAAGTGCCAATGCGGATGGGGAGAAAGCTGCGTCAATTTTCTCTAAGAACACAGGGAAAATTAGCTTCTTTACTTAAAGAAACTAACCAAAGAATTTTTCTACTCTTAGTATGGAGAACTTCACAAGCTGTTTTTTCTTTCTTTCTCTTTTCTTAATTGAGAGCAATAATGCAGAGAAACTCAGATAAAGGGTGTAGTGGGAACTTCACAGACCTTTCTAATTTACTTGCCGGAGATAGAAATTCAGTCCATTTTTTTTCAGCATTAGCAGGTAGACCATTATTCCGTCTGGCTGAAACAAAAGGTTACCACCAGGTACTAAAAATACATAAGTCCTCTGATTCTTGACCCTATGACAGAATTCAGGCTGAATTTCTTAAAAATTATAAAAGTAGCCCAAGTATAAGGTCGCCAAAGAAATGAGAACAATCAAGGAAGCACATACCTAAATGTACTTGGCATTTCTTTCTAGTTAAAACTTGCAAGAAAACAATTACTTGCTTTCTTGGTTGCTCTTTTTCAGGTTTGGTCGTTTTAATAAAGAAATTGTTCCAATTAAATAAAAAAGGAAAACTCACGATTGTGATATGAATCTCTCAAGCAAAGCCTGTACTTTGGAATTCATGCCACGAAGCAGAGGAAACTTCTCAGGAGAGTAATGGCTGCAGACGTGGCCAGGGAGTTGGTGGGACGGAACCATGGGAGGTGGGTCCTCTGGAACAGAAGGATGGCACTGAATGAGCAGTGGTTTGGAAAACCACAGAGGTCAATAAAAAGCTTAGCTGTTTGGCCTAGAGGGTATTACACTAAGTGAAATAAGTCAGACAGAGAAGGACAAATACCATGTGATTTCACTTATATATAAAATTTAAGAAACAAAACAAATGAATGAACAAACACACACCACACACACACAAAAAAACAGAAACAGACCCATAAATACAGAGAACAAATATGGTTGCCAGAGGGGAGGAGGATGAGGGGCTGGACAAAATGGGTGAGGGAGAGTGGGAGACAAAACCTGGAGTTATAGAAGGAATAAGGTGTGGAGATAAAAGGCACAGCATTGGGAATACAGTCCATGGAATTGTAATAGCATTGTACGGTGACAGATGGCAGCTCCACTGATGGTGAGCACAGCATCACGTATAGACTTGTCAAATCACAATGCTGTACACCTGAAACTAATATAACACTGTGCGTCAACTATACTTCAATTAAAAAAAAAAGCCTTAGTTTTGTATTATTTCTAAACAGGGCAGAGAATGTAGATAAGAATTCAGGATCAATTTTCCTAGAAGAGACTCTTTCGCCTTTTATTTTCTCTTGTTATCTGGTAAATCGTGACCATAGATTATGAAACAAGCTATGTTCCTTATATTGTTTCTCTTGCCTTTTATAAAACAAGAAACTGTAAATAGGATGTATAGAATATTACATTAAATTTATTTTACACAAAATAAAATAATGGGGAAACTCAAGGTCACATTGGTTGGGACTAATTATAAACTGCTTTCTTTATATAATGAGCAGAAAGTTGGATATGTCCAAATTTAAATTTGTCATTTATTGGAAATCGAAAACTTGATATATTTTAAAAACACTTTAGTAAGCAAATTGATATAGCAGAATAAATCAACAGGAAAACACAGTTTGGGGTTATGGAAAACAATAGGAAGGAGTGACATTTAATATGCTCACAATGATGTTTGGGTACAAAGCCTTGTTTGGTAATGAGCTATCATTTCACTCTCAGAATGTTAGCCTTTAGAAATATGTCAGGCATCAATGTCACAAAGTGAATCAGAACAAAATAACTGAGCAAACCTCAAAATGTGAAACCAAGACACTGTATAAAAACCCTTCTGAACCAGAGCAGCTAAAAGTAAAAAGAACAAGTGAGAAAACCACAAGTGAAGGAAAATGGCCCCCCCAAACCTATTAAATGTTCTACATAATCAGATTATTTGCCAATAATAAGACCTTACCTCTTCATTTCCAGTACTAAAGACAAAGGTAATAAATACTCAAAACTCCATACCTTTCTAATTTTACTACAATTTCCTCTTATCTATGCCCTTGAGATGATATTGGTTGTGTTTCCCTGATGGAAATACTATATATGTGCTCCTGTGCGTCTCTGCCTGACCGCAAGGTTAGTAACATAACACTGGTAGCTTGAAATCAGCCACAGTGGGAGGATCTATACCACAGAAAATGGCTAACACTATAGATCTGAGTTTTTTCTTTGTTCAGAAACCTGGTTGTTAAACATCTACCAGAACACCCTGGCAACATTCTTCTGGTCCTAAATATTTGAGAAAGGTCCCAGTCTGCCCTTAACAATGACTGAAACACTAAATATTTTGGAATCCACACCAGCTGACAGATGGTCTGAGTTCACACTAGCAGTGTTCGATGTGCTCCCTTTTCCATGATTCCTACAGCCAAGGACTGCACTGTGCCATGATCGTAAAGAGTAAAAATTGTGATCCAGCAATTCCACTTTTGGGTATTTATCCAAAGGAAATGAAATTACTATTTTGAAAAGGCATCTGCACCACCCCCATATTCATTGCAAAATTACTTACAATGGTCAAGACATGGAAACAACCTAAGTATCCATCAACAATGAATGGATAAAGCAAATGTATGTGAGAGAGAGATACATATCTCACATTTGGAATGCAATGGAATATCATCTAGCCATAAAAAGGAAGGAACTCCTGCAGTTTGCAACAACATAGATAGACCTTGAGGGCATTATGCTAAGTGAAATAAATCAGACAAAGACAAATACTGTATGATCTCACTTATATGTGGAATCTTAATTTAAAAAAACAAAAAGCTGAACTTACAGATACAGAGAACAGATTGGTGGTTGCCAGAGATGGGGTGGGTGCAGGGGTGGGCAAAGTGGGTGAAGGGGGTCAAAAGGTACAAACTGCCATTATAAAATAAATAAGTTCTGGGACTGTAATGTATATCATGATGACTATAGTTAATAATATCGTGTATTTGAAAGTTGCTAAGAGAACAGATCTTAAAAGTTCTCATCACAAGAAAAAAAATGTAACTGTGTGGTAATGGATGTTCACTAAAAGTATTGTGGTGATCGTTTTGCAATATATACATATATCAAATCATTATGTTGTGTACCTGAAACTAATACAATGTTATATGTCAATTATATCTCATTTAAAAAAAAAAAAAAAGAGGGGAAATTTTGTTCTGATCACAAGAACCAGCTCTGCTCCCTATCCCACATCTGTTATCAGTCTTTCTGTGTCTACTCAAAGACTATGATATCATTGTGCTGCACAGGAAGCAGAGGGAAGGCTAAAGATGTCTTTCATTTGGGGATGTTAGTCGTCTACAAAAGGACAAAGGATGAGGATGGGAAGCTTCAACCGCTGTTCCATCTTCTCCAGCAGGAGTTGCTGGGGGTGAGTTTTTCCCGAAAACACCCAGAGGCAATAAACTGCCACAGTGAAACCTTTTTTCTTGTGAAGTCCAGCCAGTTTAGCCTACATGAAACACACTCCAGTTTCTTTATTTGAGATTGCTTATTTTGCCTATTTATTTTACCACTTGCCAAATAACCATGGCCTTATTAGGTAAAGGATGTTCAACTCTCTCCTGATCTGTGTTTTACATGTTAGCTTTGTCATAATAAAATTCCCCACACTAACTAACCAGATTTATCCCAAAGCTATCTTGCCATCCATCTAGGGCTTAGGTAAATAACATGATGCTCACATAGTTTCTCTCTAAACCCAGGCTGCTTCCAAAGTAAAACTGCTATTTTATTAGTATATTTCCGTTCTTCCCACCAGTAAGATAAATCCACAGACTAATGTTAAATTAACATGGGCTGTTAATAGTATTTGTGGGGTGGCGCCTGGGTGGTGCATTTGGTTGGGCATCCGACTCATGGTTTTGGCTTCGGTCATGATCTCAGGGACATGGGATAAAGCCCCGCATCAGGCTCCATACACGGAGCCTCCTTGAGATTCTCTCTCACTCTCCTTCTACCCCTCCAATTTGTATGCGCTCTCTCTCTCTCCCAAATAAATAAATAGATCTTTAAAAAAAAGTATTAGGGGGATGGTTGGGGCTGAGGAGGGAGGGCTGAGGAATGTAAAGTGCACTAAATTCCTTGTCAAGCAAAGGAAAGAGTCTGAAATTAATAATTTATTCTTACCCTAGGTTTAGATACGTTAATTAGGTTCTTTCAGGTACCATGAGCAGGGAAATGATTATGCTGCCTCAAGTACAGGAATTTATTTATGATGTAGCAGAACTAAAATATACCCAAGTTCTACAAGAGATGGCAAGTAATTAAAGATAATTCTGACCCTGCTCTTAAAAGAATTTATGAATGTTCCAGATGTATTCCAAAGAGTTGTTCATTTTTCTCCTGAAGACATTAGAGAGACTTCTAGAACATAAGTGCCCTCATGTGTGAAGAGACATAAGACACAGATCAACAGATATTGGGATTCTAATTATTTAATCTGGATATCATTCAAGTGATGAATAAGAACTTTAGTGATACAACAAAAGTGAATCACATATCCTTAGTTTTATGTACTCAGTCAAGAAATTGCTACTTCCCATTAAAACAAACACAATTTCAGATTGATGACAATTCACCCAATAGTAGATTTTATCTTAAAAAAACAAAAGGAATCAATGCATTTGATATTTGCAGAAACATTACTGACTATAGAATAGAATTGTATACTAGACTAAATGGATCTTGGGAGCTTACAAGTTGCTACTTTATGGTTAATGAACAGCAAGATGACTGAATTACTAAAACAGATTGTATTTTCAAATTGATGCTAATTTCTTATGTAATGGTGAAAGATTAAATGCATTCCTCTTAAAACTGGAAGGAAGAGAAGCCAGCTGGTCTTCCTACAATTCAACTCAATTGTGACATTAGGTTCCCAGAGACAGCACCCAGACCCCGTCCCACAAGACTGCCCTCACTTGAGATGCCAAGACAAGTCCAGGTTGTTTCCTGGACCAAGTGGCTATAGTAGGAGATTCCAATGACTTCCTCCTTGGGTTCAATTAGTTGGCTAGAACGCCTCACAGACCTCAGAGAAACATTTTACTTAACTGATTATCATTTATTATAAAAGGCTATAACTCAGGAACAGCCAGATGGAAGAGTTTCATAGAGCAGAGTATAAGGAAATGACAGGGAGTGTCCATGCCCTCCCCCACCCCACCACTCTCCCAAATCTCCATGAATTATATTCACCAACCTGGAAGCTCTCCAAAACCCAACCTTTTGGGCTTTTATGGAGGCTTCATTAAAATAGGTATGCTTGATTAAGTCATTGGCCATTGGTGATTGAACTCAACTTCCAGCCCCTCTACCCTCCCAGAAAATAGGGCAGGGAGACAAATGAAAGTTGCAACCTCTAATCACATAGTTGGCTCCTCTGGCAACCAGCCCCAATCCTTAGGTACTTCCCATAAGTCACCTCATTAACATAAACCCAGTTGTGGTGGAAGGGGCTTCTTATAAATAACAAAACACCCATTTGCCCTTCATGGCTCTGAAGTAATTTCAGAAACTGAGGACAAGAGACCAAATATTATGACAAAAAATGCTCCCATTGCTCTTATCTCGCAGGAAATTCCAAGGGTTTGGGGAGCTGTGAGCCAGAAACCATGGGGCTAAGACCAAATAATAT